TCCCAGGGCATCCCAGCAGTGCCAGGAGCTGGGGTGGCACAGGGGATGTGAGCAGGGGGCAGATGGGGACCACCCCCATCCCAAATCCCATTTCCCAATAAAAGGGAAATCAAACAACTCCCCCAAAGGGACTGAGGAGGGCAGGGCTCACAGAGACATCGTGTCTCCTCTGAAAGGAGATCCTTGTGCCTAATTAATCTCCTAAATTAGCTGGAGCAGCTTTCCCCTCACCTGGGGGTAACCCGATCCCGCAGGTGCAGTGCAGACACCGGTGGCAGGGCAGTGCTAAGCTGGGACATTGTCAGCAGCAGCAGCAGAGCTGTCCCCAGGCTCCTGCCTGTCCCCACGGCCTGGCACCGTGCCCAGGGCTGGGCTGGCAGGGGCAGCCTGCAGGGAAGGGACCTGGTGGCAGAAAGGAGCACGGCTTTGCTGCAGCAGCACTTGGGAAAAGGGGAGTGCTGAGGGAGGAAAAACGGGCTGTGTCACCTGTGGGGCTGAGGAAAACTCCTCTGGCTTCGGGTTGAGGGGGGAAGGGAGGTCAGGGTGGGAATGCTGCTCCCCAAAACACCCAGGGATCAGCTGGAGACCCTGGGGGAACCCCAGGAGCAGGGGGACTTGATCCCCTTTCTTTGGCCACAAAGGTGCTCTGAGGGCTGGAGCCCCTCTGCTCTGGAGCCAGGCTGGCAGAGCTGGGGCTGAGGAGACCCCAGGGAGAGCTCAGAGACCCTCCAGGGCCTGGAGGAGAATTGGAGAAGGACTTTGGACAAGGATGTGCAGTGGGAATGGCTTCCCACTGCCAGGGGGCAGGGCTGGATGGGATTTTGGGAATCAATCATTCCCTGAGGGAGCAGGCAGGGCTGGCACAGGGACCAGAGCAGCTGTGGCTGCCCCTGGATCGCTGGAAATATCCAAGGTCAGGTTGGACACTGGGGCTGGAGCAGCCTGGGGTGGTGGGAGGTGTCCCTGCCATGGCAGGGGTGGCACTGGGGGGCTTTGAGGTCCCTCCCAGCCCCTGCTCGAGCAGGCTGGAAGTGCTGGGTGCACAGCACAGGCACGTTTGGGAAAGCACAAGGAGTGAGAAGTGGAAAAATACCCAGGAAAAAAGTGAATTGGATGTCTTAATCCTTGCAGTGTTTGATCACTGGGAAGAGCTCTCCAAGGCTGCATGCCCAGCTCGATGGCACAGAGGGAAATTGAGGCTGGGCCAGTGAACTGGGAGGGTTGTGGTGCTCTGTGTGACTGCAGGAGGAGAGTTCTGCTGGTTAGAGCTGCTGGGGCAAAAATGTTCTTACAAATTCTGGTGGTTTTAAGGGAAAAAAAAAAAAGAAAAAAAAAAGAGCAGAACTAACACGGTGTTTGTTTTGATAACTGTGATTGAGTTGGGTTGTTTCAGTGTTGTGGTCTGTGGGGTTTGCAGTGAAATGCTCAGCTCTCAGGAGTGGTGTTTGCAGAGTGCTGCAGAGCAAAGCAACACGAGGCCAAATGGCCAAAAACGAAATCAGGGAAACAAGAAAATGCAGAAAATGATGATGCAGTGACTTTACTCGTCCATTACTCCTAAATCACCTTCTCAGGCCCGAGTAATCCCCACTGCTGTGCCCTCCGTGGGCAGTGCTGGCTCCTCGTGCTGCAGGGAGGGGATTTAAAAAATGAGAGTTTGAGCCTGTGGAGCTCATGAGGGTCAAAGAAACTCTCTTTGTTTCCTGTTAGGATCTGAGCCTGGAAGTGGCCTCCTGTCAAGTTATGTGGGGAATATTCCCTAGCCACGAATGAATTTTTTACAGCAGGGAATAATTGTTCTGGTCATTTCCAGAAACTGCTTAAAAAGTGAAAGGAGCCTCTTGTCCCCTTGGAGGGCTGGCAGTGCCAGCTCCTGGGGGGGAATTGCTGCTGCCATCCCCAGCCTGTGCCCTCCCTGGCTCCTGGCAGAGCACTGGTTTGTCCCCATGGGGCAGGGCAGGATCCCCCCTCACCTGCCCTGGGCCACCTGGGCAAATAAAGACCAAATTCCCTCACTTTGCACCCAAAGCCAGCTCCCAGGGCTTGGACAGGAGCCTGGGGCAGGGGTGAGGGCAGGGGTGAGGGCTGTGCTCCCCCAGCACAGGACAGAATCCTCCTGCATCCCTGAGCTTCCCTGCATCCCTGAGCTCCCTAAAGGAGGTCACCCCCGGCCCCAGGGCTCAGGTGTAGCTGCTGGTGGCTGGCAGAGGCAGCTCAGCAGTGCCCTGGGGCACAGGATGTGTTTAACTCAAATATTTGATCCTCCCCAGCTCCCCACAGCTGAGCTGGGAGCTGAGATCCCACAGGGACTTTAATTTCCTTCGTTTTCCAAGGATCCCATATGGTTGTTGGGGTGGCAGATGGGAGAGTTTTCTTTTCAGGGGGATGGAAGATGGCAGTGCATTGAATGCCAGAGGGGAGTGAGATTTCTGGAGGGCTGTTGAGCTCTGCTTAATTGCAAACAGAATTTGTTGGTGACTAATGCACCCAGCCTTGCAGCATTATCTCATGTTAGAAGCTGTGGCACGATGGAGAAGCCATGACTAAGACACTGGCTCCTGATTTACCAACACTTCCCTCCTAAACTGCCACTTTGGCTCCCTGCTGCCACATTACAACTTTTCTATTAATAATTAAGAGCTTTAACACAGTTTGAAAGCATTCAGTTCGACATGAAACCCTCCAGCATGATTTTGAGTCTGCTGAGAGCCTTTTTGGGCACAGAGGAAGAGGGAGGGGGGCATTGATGGAGCAGAAAATGCAATTGCTGAGCAAAAGGTGGGGTGAGGTGTTGGGAGGAAATCCTTCCCTGGCAGGGTGGGCAGGGCTGGCACAGGGTGCCCAGAGAAGCTTTGGGTGCCCCTGGATCCCTGGCAGTGCCCAAGGCCAGGCTGGACATTGGGGTTTGGAGCAGTTTGGGTTTTGGGGGATGGTGGGAGGTGTCCCTGCCAGGTGGCACTGGGTGGGGTTTAAGGTCCCTTCCAGCCCCAGGCCATTCTGTGACTCCGTGTCCTGTCCAGGCTGGCTCATGTCCCCCTGCCTGTCCCAGTGCTGGGAGCAGCCACTGGTGGGGCTGCAGCTCACTGGTGGTACTGGGAATTCTCTGTTTCCAACAACTTGTGCAGCTGTCACTGAAATGCTGTTCCCTGTGAAGATGTCACCATGTTCCTGTCACCTGGAGCTCACCTGGCACGAGGACACCTGTGCTGGCACCAGGACACCAGGCTGGGCCTGCAGCTCTTGCTCCTGCTGAGAACTCATCCATTGCTGCCTCTCTGCTTGCTCCCTGACTCTGTCCAGCTCTAGCAGCAGCCTCTGAGCTCCAGTGCCACAATTCTGTGCCACAGCAGCTTTGTCACCTCCTCCCTCTGCAGCCCCGAGCATCATCTGCACCTGGAAATGGCAGTGGGGGACAGCAGCTCCAGCTCTCCTCCCCACACTCACTGCTCATCCCTGGCTCTCTCTTGTGGAAAAGCTTTTAGATGCTTTGTGAAATGACTAAAGCAGGGAAATATTCCCACACGTGGGAAATCAGCCAAGCAGCAAAGTGACAAGACAAAGCCATGTGCTGGGTGTCATCAGCATTGCAGAGGGACACGTCCGTGTTGGTGGAGAGAAGATCCCGAAATCTGTGCTGCTGGAGATGGGGACTGCTAAATGGAGATGTGGGGAAGGTCTGTGCTGAAGAATTTGAGATATTTTTTGGACCAGTTTGGTCGAGTGACCACAGGCCATTTTAGCTGCTTATTCCTTTAAATGTGTCATTTTTTTTTTTTACCACCCAAATGAGCCTGCAGCAACATTACTCCCGTGAGAGTGACACTGCAGAGAGTTTAATATCATTTTTCTTGCATTAAAGCACCAAGGGCAGGAAGAGCCCTGCCAGAGTGGAGCCCTGTGAGCTGGTGCCCAGGCCTGGGGTGGTGCTGCCAGTGCCCAGAGTTGCTTCTTAAATCTCATCCATCACTCCAAGCCTTGCTGGGACCTGCAGCACTGCTTGAGCTCCATCAGCTTCCCACCCCAGGCTCCCATTTCACTGAGGCTACAGAGCCATGGCTGCTGCTGAGCTGCAGTCTCGTCCTTGTTTCAGCAGAGCTGAAGTGCTCTGGCATTACATAAAGCTGTAATTTTCTTTTTTCTCGTTACCTTTGAGAAGAACCTTATGTTCTGCAGCTTTGTTCTATAGGGATAGATCAGGGAGCAGAGGGCTTGGTGGTCCTTGATGTGTTTTACTGCAGTCAGGTACTGATCATGTCAGAACAGGAATATTGTTTATTTTTGAGGTGGTTTCATGAAAGGGCTGGGATGCATCAGTGGGCTCTGCCCATCCATAGCTGTGAGATGTTCTGAGGCAGAAATAGCCCCGAGTTCCACAAAAATAAACAAGTCGTAAACATGTTTGAAGTGGAACTGATGTCCTCTGGGAGGAGAACAAAGCAGCAGAAGTTGGCTGGAGACCTGCTGAGAGGGGCTCTGAGAGCTGCTCATGCCCCGGGGGCTGAGGCAGCCCGGGTGGAGGAAGGGGAATGAAAGAGGCAGGTTAGGAGAAGGGATCACAAAAGAAATGTTTTAGCTCCATCAACTCCAGCAGAGTCTTGAAATGAAAGTTTCTGCTTTATTTTTTCACGTGTTTGGGCAGCAAACGAAGCATCTGCATGGGAAAGGCAGCGTGCACGGCCAGCACGGGAAGCAGGGAGGAGGATTTAGCTCCTAAATTCATTTCCAACTCTGTGTTTGTTGGAAGAGTGGGATTGCTGGAGGGACACATGGAGTGGAAGGTGCAGATCCCAGATCCTCCCTTGGGATCACCAGTCAGACCAGCAGGAAGGGCAGGAGCCTCAGGATGCCTTGGGCTACGGACTCGTGGAGCTCCCCCGTGGGGAAAGGTCCATTCTCACCTTGGAAGACTCTTAATTTGAGCCATTTCTTTGTTTCCTGCTTCTGATGGTTTTTGGTTCTTAGCAATTTTCTCTGTTTTGTTTCCACTGTGCACCCAACAGGAAGAGCCCCTCGCAAAGCCCTCCCGAGTAAGAAGAAGGAAAAAAAAAAAACAAAACCGTCCAGCTGACATTTGCTGCCTGCAGGCAGCAGCAGCCAGAACTTCCCCCCAGCCTCTCACCACCTCTGCTCTTTTTGTGAGAAACAAAAGAAATTGGATCCTACGAGAAAACTGTTTCCCAAAACGCCAGAGACCTCGGGATAGCCCAGCCCTGCTGGGCACTGACATCTGCAGCCAGGCAGCCCCTGGGGCTGGCACCCACATGAGCTCAGGAAGGTGATTCTCAATCAGCACCTTGGAAATGAATCCCTGTATTTCCTGGGAGGGAGGTGAACCCTTCATCCCCATCACACCCCAGTGCTGTCAGTGCTGGGGAGCAGCTCGGGGGGGGTGCTGAGCTGTGCCTGGCTTCTTCTTGGGGGAATGTTCTGGAAGGACTGGCAGAGCAGCTCAGTCACTGCAGGACCACGTTCATCTCCTGTGTGAGCACCTGATGGGCCCGGGGTGCCCTGCACTCCCCAGTGCCATTAGTGAACTCCTCTCTGGGTGGGTTTGCTGAGCCTTTTCTGTGACACCAAAGACACCAAAATCCTGCTCCAAAGTAGAGAGAACTTCTCAGGCACAGGCTGGCCTGGGGCTGGTTCTTGCCTGATAACTCTGAAATCCTGCTGGTTACATTCCCTGCTGTCCTGAGCAGAGCAGGCACTTGTGGCAGAGTGACCTGAGGAGAAACGAGAGCTGCATTCTTCTGCCATGACTGCATCTCAAAAAGTGCAGCAGCAACTTCCAGGCTGGAGCCTTGTGCCCCTGGATTTTCCTTTGTGCAGTGGAGAGGACCAGGGTTGGTGGCAGGCACGGTGGCCATCCCATCAGTGGCACACTCAGTGGCCATCTCTGGCACACCCAGTGCCATGGCACAGGCTCAGCCACATTTTCCTCACCAGCTCATTTCCCCTCCAAGCCCCACCTTGGCCAGGCTCCTCTTGGAGAAGGGAATTGCTGGGTGATCTCTTTGATAGAACTGGTGCTTAAAGGGTGAATTTTGGCAGTTTGGGATGACTTGGTGACCTTGGTGGCACCTCCTGTTTGGGGTGGGAATAGATGGAGTACCTGGTGAGTACCAGTGGCTGTCAGGTTTGGTAAAGACCAAGGAAAACTCATTTTTTAAAAGATGGACAGTTTTGATGATGGAAATGCTGAAGGATTGTTTTTACATGGTGATGATTATTAGCAGAATGTTTTGAGGATGTGGTTGACAGCCTGCCTGACAGCATTCCCTGTTTCCCAGCCTCTGCTGAAGTCATGCTGCCCTCCCTGCTGTATCCCATTTCTCTATGTGTGTAATCTTCTGACATAATAAAGGTGTTGCCTGTAATTTCAGAGGGAATTAACCGGTGCCTGTCGAATCCAGTGACACAGCTTCTGCAAGGAGTCAAGCCAAGAGTTTGGCCTTAAGCAGAGGTGGTCCAATTTCCAAGGGGAAAGCGTCTGTGACATAAATATCCCCCCGAGGTGGCAGCCAGGGGACACTGGGGAAGGTTAAACGTTGCTCTGAGCTCCTGTAGGGCTGAGGTTGTCCCCATGTTCTGGAGCCACCATTCCCTGAATCCCTTCCCTCTAGCCCAGGAGCCCCCAGCTGAGGGATAGGGACATCCTGGGGTTGTGTCCTGTCCCCCCTCATCACAGACCTGTGTGATCAGAGCTCTCTAAAGAGAAAACATAACTCGTGGTGCTTGTACAAAACTTGTTGTTTTTACAGAGTCATTTGCAGCGTGGAGAGGGATTTCTGTTTTATCAGGGATGGAGTTTCTGATCTGAATTGGATAGGGAATACCAATGAATGAATGAATGAATGAGAGTCAAACTGGTGTTTTAATACAATAATTGCTTTTTGGTGAACCTGAGAATGACCTGAATCAAACAGTTTGGAAGGACCCAAAAAACTTCTGTGTGCAATTACCGGGTCAGTAACTGCATCCAGCTCCAGTTGACAGCTGTGGCTTCAGGAACGAGCACAAGGGGGAAAAGGGATGTAAAACAACAAAACCAATGGCATTTTTCTCCACTGAATGTCTGAGTGACAGGCAGAGGGGGTGGAGGCTGCTCACAGGCATCATTAACGTCCAGAAATACCAGCAGCAGTTTCTGGCAGCCCTGGGGGAAACAAGCACGAGGCAGGTAAGTGGTGGGCACAGGGTGCCAGGTGTGATGGAGGGGGCAGTGGATGGGGCTTCACTGCAACACCCAGCTCTTGTTGTCCCGACAAACGCAGGCCCAGCCTTGGAGCTCTTCCCAAGGTCTTGGCCCTTCATGTCGTGGCTGTGTCTCATGCCCAGGACACTCCCAAGGCGCTGGCTGTGGTGGGCTGCTGTCTGTGTGTGTCTCAGTGCTGTTCGTGGCTGTGCTTGCACGTTGATCAGGTCTCTGGTTCTGTCTTGCAGCCCTCAGAATCCAAGCCCAACGTCACCCCTGTCACCGTCCTGGCCCATGTTCTCTGCGCCCTCCAGCCCTATGCCCACCTCCTCCACGTCCAGCGACTCATCCCCCATCAGGTCTGTGCCACAATTCCCTCGGCTTTGCGTTGCTTTTTCTGTTGGATTTTCCCCCGCTTCACTTCCCTTTCCCTTGGCATCCTGCTCCAACCCTCCCAGCACAGCTTGCACTCAGCAAGAGGGGAGCTGGTAAAGCCTGCTGGCCACGGGGAGCCCCCTGGATCACCCTCAGCTCCATGAGAGCCCCCTGGATCACCCCAAGTCCCAGGGCAGCAGGAGCTTGGTGTCACTGCTGGGCTCAGCTCAGCTCCTGAGCTGCCTTTGCTCTGCTCTGCAGCAGGTAAGAGGTGAGGTGTAAGGAGTGCAGAGCCTTTGGGAAGCTCTGCCATCCCTGGTTTTCTGGCCACAGCCTCGTCTGGGATGCCAGGAGGGTGATGGGCTCGGGGCAGCCCAGGCTGCTCTGTGCCCAGCCTGAAGGTCCTTGGGCATTGCTGGAGCTGCAGATGAGCCAGTGCAGGATGCCCAGGGATGGCAGAGCAGGGCCAGGCTGAGCTGTGTGCCAGCCCCGGGGGTCCCCTGTGCCCTGGGGTGCCTGGCACCAGCGATGCCACCGTGCCCTGGGTGCACTGTGATGCTGAAAACACCTGATTTTACCTGGTGGTCTCCAGCGTGAGCGGTGCCTCCCTGGCAGGGCAGGACCCTTGGAGTGGGAGGATTGTTTGCCCACCCTGCTTTTGAAGTGTTTGGGAGCTGCTCGTGTCAGGCAGCTGGAATTTGGAGAGATCTCAGCTGTGGGGCTCTCTTTGCAGCAAAGCCAAAAGCATTCCCAGCTCCTGGGTTTGGAGTTTGAAGGGGAGCTGCTCTTGTTGCTTCCCAGGAACTCAGGGAACTTCAAATCCTCAGAGAGATAAAAATTGGTGAAACCACTGATGTGAGCATGGTGACCCCTTGTTCCCCACCCCAGCAGCTCCTGGGGGCACTTCATCACTTCCCTTGTTTGTGTCACAGCTGAGCAGCAGTGCTGGATGTGGCCAGGGCCCGGCTGGGTTGGCACTGCCACTGTCACTGTCCCCACAGCCTGGCACTGTCCCAGCTTGCCAGCAGCCCTGCTCCAGCCCAAAGCTGGGTAGGATGGGTGGGGATTCCAGGTGCAGGGACAGCTCTGTGTGCCTGTGCTGTGCCTGGGGTGCCTCGTTTTCCACTCTGTGCCAGCAGTTTGCTCCATTCCTGCTCTCCCTGCTCCCATTCTCTCTCCTGCAGCGTGGGCACGCTGACACTTCCAGCAAAATCTAATGGCTGTTAAATCTCTTTTACCTTCAGGTACAGGCTTTAAAGAAGTGCAGCACATTCTTCACGGACCTGCTTTGCTTTCTGCTTTGAAATACCCTTCCCCAAGTGCTAATTCTTCCTTGTGAAATTCTCCTTGTGGTCGCAGCTGCACTCGGATGGGTTTGGCAGAGCGGGGCCAGTGGCAGTGGGTCACTGCCAGCACCTGCTGCCACCTTTGCTGTGTGTCTGGCTCTGATCACTGGTGGCCTCTCCGATCCACAACATCCCAGCCTAGAGCCTGCAGCTGTCCTGGGGACCCGTGGCTTGGGCTGGTGCTGTCTGGGCAGTGCTGTGGGCTCAGGGTGGGATTTGCAGGGTGCTGGCCCATCCCCGGAGCCCCCAGCCCGTGCTGGTGGCCCCGAGCCCACTGCTGGCCCATCCCCGGAGCCCCCAGCCCGTGCTGGTGGCCCCGAGCCCACTGCTGGCCCATCCCCGGAGCCCCCAGCCCGTGCTGGTGGCCCCGTGCCCACTGCTGGCCTCTCTTGCAGCTCCCCCCTGCGCAGAGCCCGAGCTCTCTACGCCTGCAAAGCCGAGCACGACTCCGAGCTCTCCTTCACTGCTGGCACCGTGTTCGACAATGGTGAGTCCTGGCAGCCCCTCCTGGGCACATCCCAGCCTGTCCCACTGGGATCTGGGGCTGTGCATCCCCCCCGGGCTCCTCACCCCTCCTCCAGTCCCTGCCCGGAGCGTTCTGTGGAGGGGACATTGGATTCTGGGTATCCAGAAATACTCTGCGTAGTTGCTGTTAATGTTTTGTGCAGGAGATGAGAAAGCCACGTGTGATTTTTTTTTTTTCCCTCTGGATGTGAGTGGTGGGCTGTGCTCACTCACACCACGCTAATGAACACACATTTGGTGTTTCCTGCACCGAGAGTTTGTGCTTCGTGGAACTCAGCAGCTCTGGCTTAGTTATAATCCCGGTTTTATAATCCCTTTTTACTACTTTCCAAGTCATTCTTGGCTTTTAAATGTTAAGCATTGTCATTTGGGAAGCTGCTACCACAGGCACTGGTTTTGCCCTGGGATATGGAGGCGAACACAGCAGAGAGGGGAGGAGAGTGAATACATGTGAATTAAAGACAATCCTTCCCCAAAGCTGCTCCATAGTCATCTTATAAATAAACATAAATATACATGGTCTCCCCTCTGAGGGCCCGTGGGAATCAGAGCAGCTAGGAGGGGAACAAGTTTGAATTAAATACATTATGTTTGCTGATAAAAATCGATGGATTATTCAAGGGAAAAAGTACACAGCGTGTTCCAGTGCCTCAGCAGCACAGCCAGGGCTCACGTTGGCTGCAGGTGCTGGGGTGGAGCCAGCCTGGCTTGGTGGGAGCCCTGCTGTGCCCAGGGGGCTTTACAGACCCCGGTGAAGGCAAAGGGGTCTTGGCAACGCTCGGAGCCAGGTTCTGGTTTGGCTTTGAGCTTCTGTGAGGCTGAGCAGAGCTGGGCTCCGGGGCTGCCCCCAGGACAGTGGTGGCACTTGGAGAGCTCCAGGTCGGCTGGAGCTGACCCCAAACTCTGGCTGGGGGGGTGAGGACAGAGCTGCAGAGCCACAGGAGCCCAGGGAGCTCCAGGAGCTCTGGAACACCCACTTCCCACCTATTGTGGGAGGGGGGAGATTCCTCTGCCTGCAGGCATAACCCGGGCCTGGCTCCTGCAGAATCAGCAGATTTTTGGGAGTTGATTGAATAAAGAAAAGCTTTTGAGGACTGATCAGGTTTCTGGTTGCACACAATCAGGTTGCAGGGTTTGCTTTCCCTCTGGGATTGTTCCCTAATGCAATTTCCCTCCCAGCCTGGGCCCAGGCCAGCAGGGATGTGCAGTTACCATGGGATGGAGTGAACCATGTTCCCTCCAACTTCCAAGAGATTTTAGCTCAGATCTGCAGGAAGTGTTGAGCCCTTGTTTTTATCCCAAATTCTTCACTTCCCTCAGCCCAGCAGCCCCAGGGATTCACTTGGGAAGTGGGAAGGAAAGGCCAAGGAGTCCCAGGGAGCAGGCAGGGACTTCAGCTGCCTGAGCCCCTTGGGGTGTTCACAGAATCCTGGAATGGTTTG